CCTCCAAGTCAGCTTATTTGAAAATATTAAAATAATTCTTGATAGATTAAATATAGCTTCAACTCAGCAAAACCTATTTATATTTATTTGAGCGTCATACTAAACAGCTACAGAAACGACGGCTCAAACTACTGAAACCACGGGTCCATTGACGACGAAAGAAACGACTGTCGAGGCTCCAAGTAAAAATTATTTTAATCGAAACGTGTCTGCCAACAAATTTGATTTGATTTTCACACCTGAAAACATTGTTTCGTTTTAATCGTATTTCAGCTACTGCTTCTCCAACTACTGAAGCTCCGACAACTGTTACAACCAAGGAAATCGAAACATCAAGTCCAGTGTCAACGACAGAAACAGAGACAACAGTTGTTCCTCCAAGTCAGCTTATTTGAAACTATTAAAATAATTCTTGATCGATTAAATATAGCTTCAACTCAGCAAAACCTATTTATATTTATTTGAGCGTCATACTAAACAGCTACAGAAACGACGGCTCAAACTACTGAAACCACTGGTCCATTGACGACGAAAGAAACGACTGTCGATGCTCCAAGTAAAAATTATTTTAATCGAAACGTGTCTCCTAACAAATTTGATTTGATTTTCACACCTGAAAACATTGTTTCGTTTTATTCGTATTTCAGCTACTGCTTCTCCACCTACTGAAGCTCCGACAACTGTTACAACCAAGGAAATCGAAACATCAAGTCCAGTGTCAACGACAGAAACAGAGACAACAGTTGTTCCTCCAAGTCAGCTTATTTGGAACTATTAAAATAAATCTTAATTGATTAAATATAGCTTCAACTCTGTAAAACCTATTTAAATTTATTTGACCGTCATACTAAACAGCTACAGAAACAACAGCTCAAACTACTGAAACCACTGGTCCAATGACGACGCAAGAAACGACTGTCGAGGCTCCAAGTAAAAATTATTTTAATCGAAACGTGTCTGCCAACAAATTTGATTTGATTTTCACACCTGAAAACATTGTTTCGTTTTAATCGTATTTCAGCTACTGCTTCTCCACCTACTGAAGCTCCGACAACTGTTACAACCAAGGTAATCGAAACATCAGGTCCAGTGTCAACGACAGAAACAGAGACAACAGTTGTTCCTCCAAGTCAGCATATTTGAAACTATTAAAATAATTCTTGATCGATTAAATACAGCTTCAACTCAGCAAAACCTATTTATATTTATTTGAGCGTCATACTAAACAGCTACAGAAACGACGGCTCAAACTACTGAAACAACGGGTCCATTGACGACGAAAGAAACGACTGTCGAGGCTCCAAGTAAAAATTATTTTAATCGAAACGTGTCTGCCAACAAATTTGATTTGATTTTCACACCTGAAAACATTGTTTCGTTTTAATCGTATTTCAGCTACTGCTTCTCCACCTACTGAAGCTCCGACAACTGTTACAACCAAGGAAATCGAAACATCAA